TTTTTTTCAGACATTGCAAAATCCTGCTGATTTGTTGATCACTTAATGGAATGTGACTTGGTGAGACAGAGTTCTCTGGTCCTCGTAACTCCACCCTTCACAGGGATCAGAAAGAAGTGCAGCTTTTTCTCCACCGAAGGATTTTGGAAATGCCTCTCAGTTTCACATTATTTGCAAGCTTTCTCTTTCCTCTTTATGACTGCATGGCTCATCTCCAAGGCTAACTTCTGAAACATTTGTTGCCAAGTCACAGATGAATGCAGAAGTAGCTGATAGAACCAGAAGTTCTAAGGTAAAGGACCTGTGTGTATTTTGGTGTATTCCTTGACAGCTTCTGGAAGGTCTGCAGATAAGGTTTGGCATTTCCAGTATTGCTTATGTGTAAAATACGAAATTGTCCTCACAGTAGGAGAAAAGATTCAGTGTTAAGGTAATTCTTTCTAATGCAGATAAGATCGTAAGTAAGTGAATAAGACTTTATTCTTAGTGCTGTTTAACCCACGCTAATAGTAAAAATGTCTTAATTTGTCATCAGTGTAAGTGAAAGCTGGCCCTGACAGAATGCCTTCAAACTAGTCAGACCACATAATTTAATGGCTTTGCAATAATCGGTCCCTTTGGTGGCTGTTAACATGTTCCCCTGTAATTGCAGTGGAGTTTGCACATTCATCAGAAGCAAAGTTTAGTATGTTATAAAATGGTATTCAGGTTAATGGTAACAATTCCAATCTGTTTTATACACAGATTTCTTTCTTTCTTTAAAAGTAGCCTGATTGTAGCCTGCCTGTATGGTATTTTTCAGCTCTAATGAAAAATCTGACTTACACACCATTATTGCTACTGAACCTTTGAGTGCCCAGACTGTCTGGTATAATTATTGTGCTTTCATGGTCTGAACTGTGAAAGCTTCATTTGTAAGCTGAGGTTGGGTTTTCCATACATATGACAATAGCTGAAGATGAGTTTTCTAATGCTGAGCTCTCACACCAAGAAACCTGCACCCAAACACTGTGACACTTGGCTTTACTCTCTTCTAAGCAAGTTCCTTGAAGTTCCTCAGGCACACAGCCAGGTGACTGCGCTGCTACTCACTGCAGAAAGAGGGAATTAGAAACTCTGCAAGCTGGAGCGTTCAGCGTGTGGCTTCCAATATGAGTAGATGTTGCTCTGAGCAGTCACTGGCTTGGATTGGCGGTTGGACTAGATGATCTTAGTGGTCTTTCCAACCTTAATGATTCTGTGATTCCTGCCAGCACTGTGCCTGATTTGACATTAATATTTCTGCTTGTGATTTATCATTAGTAGCCAGAGTATCCTAATAAAATACATATTGCTAATAGCTTTTCTGTTTCAAGAATGTTTTGGCTTACAGCTAAGATTAATAATATCTTTCATGATCACATGTTTCTAATTACTAGTGTGAATGAGCTGTGACTCCTTGCTATCACTACTTACTGTGGTGCTATAGCTAAACAAAATCAGATTTATGAGAAATGGTGTTAAGAAGCAGCATGGAGTTTTTAGCAAAGCTTCAAACTTACCTGTACATCAGTTACTCACCTGTGACAAATATTCTTCTGATGCCTGCCTTTGCTGCAAGCTGAATCAGATCAGCTATTGCTTTGTCTGACTCAGGGTTTAAGCAATCCACCATCATTATAGTAAGTACATAATTGCTGGGAAACACATTCTCAAATTTGAATTTTATTGGAAAAAAAGATCCAAGTGCAATGATGCACTTGGGAGAGAGGATAAAAGTTATGGGAGCCTACCAAGTAACCCTAAAATGCAGGATATGGATTGACCAGCTCTATCATTTCCTTTTGAAATAAAATGCATTTGAAGAGAAGAAGCTTGTGAGTAGTATTATTTGCCCAGAGGCAAGCTGCTGGCTCCCAGGTGTGTACACAGGCCAAGGATGCTGTGGACATCTGAGGAGGCTGCAAAAACATTTCAAAATGAAATCATCCTCATGGTGGGTAAATGAGGTGAGCAAATATAGTAGTTAAATCCTTTTCAGTGATAAAACCGTTACTGACTTCAGTGAATGGAATTTTACTCTATCTTCTGGTGTTTCTTTCCCCATGTGAGTGTGTGTGCCTGACAGTGCAGTAAGCAGTAAGAAAGGAGCCCCTGCACTCTCAGCGGGCACAAATCAACCCTTACTTACACAGGATCTTGCAGAAATTGCACCTGTGCTGCTGTATGCCACTGCAAGGAAATGTGGTTTGATTTGTAATGTTTCTGTTAAACTTCTTCTGTTGTGTCTTTACTCTTACTCCACTCTTTGAACAAGGAGTTGACTTTAGGTGAGGCAGTCATCGTTATCACGTATGCATGCAGAAATACAGATTTTGAAAGCTGCTTTTGTGCTTTGAAAAATTTGAAACATTCAAAGTTAAGGCAGCCAATGCTGAGTGCATTTTTAGTGTTTTATTTTTTTCTTCCCCTAATGCCCTGCAGAACCTGAGGAGGACTAAGATCTCCATAATATTTAATAACTTGTAAATCGCTGTCAAAAAGACTTTTCCCTTTTTTGGTCATGTGATATTCCATATTCTTCCCTGCCTTGCTGCTGCAATTTCCTAAAAAAAAATAAAAATAAAAAAAAAAAATCAACACAACAACAGCAAAACAAATCGCAACAAATAAAATGTAAATGCTTCTATTTTCATTCAATGTTAGTAGTCTCTGAGTACAGTGTGAAACTGTTACTGCTTTCTGGAGGGATCCAGGCTTGCTTTCTTTCCTCTTTTTCTTTCCACAGATTGATTTTCTGATGTCTTTTAGGCCTTTCATGGGATTATTTGGACTGCAAGAAGTAGATTTTGATCAATAGTTCTTAAGTTGTACACTACAGCTGCCAAGAACTGGAAATAAGGATAATATCTTACATCAAAAAAGATAGCAGCTTTTGAAATATTCGGTTCATTTTCAAGTTCTGTACTGGTTAGGAACAATAAAACATAAACGTTATGAACTGCTGTTGGTATGAATATTGGATGTATGTAAAAGGATCATCAGTAGAAAGCGTTCATTTTAATACAGAGCAGATTCATGAGTTTGTGACACATTTTTATGTGAAGATTTTGTGCAGTGAGAATGTATTGTGGCTGTGGTCCTGGGGGTGCTGTGCTGAAGCTTGCTCTTTTCTTTGTTGGCTTCAGAAAGAAAATGCATTATCTGCAGCAACGTGTACCTCCATGTTATAAAGGAAGAAACCAGAAAGCAAGAACAGAATTTCCCCCTGAAATACATTTCCTGAAGCACAATGTCTGAAAGGTGCTAGAGATGACAGAATTTGCGCGTTCTTTTTCCTTCTTTAGCTGCTTCTTTTGTGCTTGGCTAAAAGCGGCTTTGTTGTCATTGGATTTATGCATTTTGATTTCTCCAGCCCTCCCTTGTCAACAGTCTCTTTTCTGTAGTAGATGAAGTGAGAAGAAAAATGATTTGGGCCTTCTCTTTGCTTTTTTTCCTGCTTTCATGTTTACAAAGGCTGAATGAATTTTTGGTGTTTGTGCATGCTGGTTTCCTGCTGACTTGTTTCCCAGTAGCACCCAGCGGTCTCCACTGATGTGCTGTGCTCAGCACTGTGCATCTGGAAAGAGATGGCTCTGCCCACTTGAGGGTAAGAAAAGCCAGGTGGCTTTCTCATTGTTGGGCAGGACTATATCACAAAGCTGAAATTCAAGATAAATATTTGACTTTTCTTTAAGTACTCTCTTAGTTTGCCTTTGATTTTTGAAACTCAGATCTTCTTTTACTCAGCCCTGCCTTCAGCACCTTCCGCCCAGCCACAGGCGGGCAGAGATTTAAACATACCCTGAAGTCACAGTCAGATGCAAACAAGTGAAACTGCAGGCAGAATTGAGAGGGCAGAAGGTACTTTACTTAGATCATTCAGTTTTTCCTTGAGGAAATATGATTGTGTACTTCCTATTCACAGCAGCAAATTGGTACCTGTGTGTTGGTACCTGTACTGATGGGTTGGGTATCTAGCATGATAGCTTACTTTGATCTGGTAAATGATATATGCATTACTGGGGAGAAATCATTTTACCAGCATTTCTGCTTTCATTACTGCCAAACCCTTTCCTCTGTGCGGGTTACAGCCTATTTCTGGTGTGGAAATGATCTGACAGTAGATGTTCTGTTTCTGTCAGAAGTTTGCTGTGTCGGTCTTCACGTTGGAATTAGCAAAAATGAATCTGAGTTAAAGTAAAACTTGTTTCATATGTTATTTCCTTGAAAAGGGGCAAGAGAGCTCAGAAGTGTGTGGCTCCCACTCTCACCTGTTTGCTGTCATTGACCTTGATCAGGTTTGGGCCACGGGCATTTTGTTTAACCAGTTGCTGCCTTTGTTACGACTTCGTAAATCTCCACCAATTTATGGTTGCCAGTCAGGGGGTCTGCCCTGATCCCAGCATATCTTGTTGCCTGCAGAGGATCAATAGGTGGGCCACAGACATCCACACTGTTTCATCCTGTGTGAGGTGGCCCCAGCGCTCTGAACCCCCTGTGCTCTGCTGGAGAGGGTTTGGAGACCAGGACAGTTGCATCTTAGTGTGCTCAGAACTGTGCTCTGCAGGCACTGCTTGGGATGCATGTGTACCTTGCTTTCCAGAGGCTGGTTCAGTACATGTTTGAGGTGGAATTTGGGACTGGGACTTAATTATAGGCCTGTGCTCAACTGTGCCATGGATGTACCCTGGTAACCATGTCCTGCTTCACATGGACGGAACTTAGATTAGGCACTTATTTGAACTGTCATGGGAAACGTTTTAAAACTGCTGTTTGCTAGTAATTAACTGCAAGAAAAAAAAGTGCAGTTGACATATAGCCATGGGAAAAGTCATGGAGAAAATACTGTAAGACTGGTAGGAGCATCTCTTTGAAGTCTGCTCACTGTATCTTGTAATGTTTTTCTTATGCTTGAATGTACATCTGAGTATATCACTGTATGATCATTTGCATTACTTTTCTTTTTTCTTTTCTCACAGTGCTTGCCAATTAAAGGTCTTGGATTTGTGCTTGGAGCCTACAAATGTATTTGCAAGGAGGGATTCTATCACCCCAACATCTTTTCAGTGAACAGCTTTCAGAGTAAGTGCCTTTGCTTGAGTTAGGAAAAAAAAAAAAAAAAAAAGCAGAGAGAGCATTAATAATAGAGGGCTCCTTTTTATCCCAGTCAGGGTTATACAGTGAAATCCCAGTGTTGCAACTCTTGGATTATATAATAGCTTAAGGAGTTCTAGCTCTTTGATTTGTCATTGGTGATGCTCTTGAGGATCCTGTAAAACATACCCACTTTAAGAATATTTGATTTGTAAATAAATTTAAAAATATGAAAAGAAGTCTTGCTATAGGGAAGTAAAGTTTTCTGGCATCTGTGTTCAGGCAAACGTACTGAGGAATTTAATCCAGCAATTTTCTCCTTTGTTAGGGTAAACTGGAATGCTCTGGTCTCTGGCTTTGTAAGTGCTTTAATTGTTTTGATTTTATTTCATGTTCAAAGGAGAATCCAAAGGAGCACATTCAAGCTCTAATTCTTACAAATGGGGAATTAGAGATGGGTCATCTCTGAGAGTCTGGCTGGTGGTTTGGTATGGAAGACATGCAGCCTAAGCTTTCTGGAAAGCACAGTGTTTGATACTTAAACTGAGCTCAGGGAAGTAAGGGAACAGAACTGAGTTGATACTCAAGGAAAACACGTAAACAAGCATCACTAAAGGTGCTGTCTGTTACTTTCATCATATGAAATTATGACTACCTAGATATAATTGCTGTGCTAAAATTGTTGCAGTTACACTAGTACAGTTCATACTGCAGTCACAAGTGTAATGGTATTGCTTGAAGGTGTAATGGGGCATCCTGCTTTGCCTCCTACTTTGCTAATGAATCCACTCCCCAGATTCTTTGTCGTGTGTTACAGTGTACCTGATAATTGGGTTAAATATATTATGTCATGTGAGCTCAAGAGCTGCAAAGAACGTTTCTAAGTTCCTTCTACAAGTTCTGCTTTCTTATTTAAAAAGTGTTGTTGATTTTAGGTGAAAGGCAGGTAGCTTTTTAACATAAGGAAAGCTTTCAAATTTCATGTTTATTTGCAGTCATGAGTCCCAGAAATGTATTCATTCTGTGTCAGACGATGACCCATTTTTATTGATCTAATCTGGTTTGGGTATGAATTGGCCAAGATATCTCACCCCTAACAGCCTATATTCGATCTCCTGTAAAATATATGTTGCATAAACTGCACGGTGCTTATTCAGAAATTTACCTGATGAGCATTTGTTTCTCCTTTCATATTGTGGAATGTTGTAGAAAGTCACCCTTGTGATAGTGTTTTTTTCTCTTGGATCTGTATGAATCTTTTAGTAGTGAGAATGATGCTTGGTTGCTCCTGCAGTGCAGTGAGTTATGATAGAATTGGGATTTAACTCTTCAAATGAGCATATAAGAAAAATCATTCTTAGTTTTTTATCATACCAAATGCCAAAAAATGCACAAAAATAATAAGACCCTGATCATAAGGAATGGGATTTTTATCTTATATGGGCTGTATAAAGTGCAGATGCATGACATGTGTTAGTCTTCTTGGTTTCCACTGTAGTCAGTAGGGAGAGCATGGCTCCCCTGGAGGGTAGTCCTGCTGCTTTGGAAGCTTGTGTTTAGATGGAGGCATTAACTCTTCAGGCAAATAACCGCTTTTGTCTGTGTGTGATAGATGGAGGAGCCTACAAGACTAACCTAGGCAAGAAATTTTGCTTTTCAATATCTTACGCTGGAATTTTCTCACAGAACTGTTTGCATATGCTGATATTTAAGGTCTGAGAGTTAGATGATCTGGGACTTCTTTGATTTGGCCATGTGTTGCTGTGAGTTAACGTGTGCAAGAGGTTAGGAAAGGTCACTAATAAAGAACTGCTTTTAATTCAACTAGATGCAGCTGTGTTTGCCAGGCTCTATAGATGATTTCAGAATGTGAGCAGTAAGACTGCTTGTGGAAGTAACTGTGGAGTAATGGCAGAAAAAACTGGTTCAAGGCCCTGTCATCCAACTGCATTCTGTGAAAAGAAAAATGGTTAAAATGACTGAATGATATATTTGGAGATTCAAACTGATACTAATGCACGGATTCTAGACATGAATACTACAAGCAATTTTGACAGAAACTGTCTGACCTGACGGTTTTTGTGTGGAATTAGGTTGGTGAGGTCTGATAAGAGAGACGAAACTGAGTAGAAATGTTAATGGTTTAGAAAATATTCCTGGAAGATTAGAATCAAGAGGCCGGAGAGTTTTGCAGGTCACAAGATAAGATGTAAATAGGTAAGTAGATAGGAAAGCTGATCACTTTTGTAATTCCATGAATTGAAAAATTGAATTCAGTGTGTTGTATCTTGAAATAGAAGCATTCCTTAGTGATGTTGGGACTCTGCAACAAAATATGTTTAACTGCAGTTGTACGTTGTGCCTGAAGTGACAGAGCTTTAAGTTTTAAACAAGGTTTTCTTTAGGTCCAGATGAGTGTTTGGGCTGAGTCTGAAACAGCAGTACAAAATGGCTTTGCAGGGATGTTTGACAGGCTATGCAGTTTGCTCAGCAGGCAGGCTTCAAAGATTGCTTGTCTACCTCCTCAGCAAACTCAGCTGGATACCTGAACACTCAGATGCAATGTTGCATAAACAGTGTCCGCAGTAGGAAAGATTCTGTTTTTCTAACTTAAAGAGTACAGTTTTGCTGCTCCCTGGGAGGTTGCACATCTCAGGCTGCAGGTTCCAGAACTGTGTATGGAGCAGGGGTTGAAATTTGTACCATTCTTTTACCAAAGAGGAAGTCAGGTAGGAAAGCTGTTTTCCTTCCAAAGCTGAGTTTGGGCTTCAGAACTGGCAGTGCCAAAATATGTAAAACCTCTCTTTTACCACTGCATTGGTTAATGAGGACCAACAGGGCATAGAGTTATTGCTGTATTTCTGGTGTCTTTTTGATCAGCTTTCAAGGTTGAACTTTTAAGAAATAAAGAACATAAAATTTATGACCATAACAGGTTTTCAAGCCATATTCACATAGGGTTTGTGACTCAATCTCATCAGAAACTGATTTTAGAAAAAAAGATATGTGAAAAATTATACGAGTTGCATTAACCCATAATTGCTTGAGTACATGATTATGTACTTTCTCCTAATGGCTCACTTTGAGGAAGCAGTATTACTATAGGTAGACTAGATTAATTTGTGAATGCATACATTTTAACATTTTCATAGCAGTCACCTCCAAAGCACTTCGTTCTCTGCCTCACAGGTTAATCACTTTTGCATTGGAATATTCCTGGTACAATTGTGGTGTTTTATTCAACCTAAAATTGCATTCTTTAACAATACTTTGTCAACGTATTGCAGAGATTCCCCTCAGCTCTTGCTGTATTGACTATGGAATCTGCTCAGAAAAAGGTGCTTGTACACCTATTGTGTCTGAGTATGGGACTTAATGTGTCTAACAGTGCTATGTCTCCAGTCCCAGGAGAGCTTTCCAGTTCAGCTTCTCCAAAGAGAAATCCACTGTCTTCATAAAAATAAATATCAGCCTGTTCTCACTGCAGGATTTGCGAGAGAAGAATCTTCCTCTAAAAGCAAGGAGGACAGGGCTGCTGGAACAGCACACCAAACAGCAAGGCTGGGGTGTATGGCTGCTTTGTGCCCTTCTGAAGCTTTGCCTGGCAGTAGATGTGTGTTCCTCACACGTGCATTTGGGAAAAGAAGAAGTAATTACCCTTGTAGATAACCTTCAATTTCAAATGTTTGAAGTCAGAAGTCTGAAGAGAGTTTCATACACCACTGCGTATATGTGAAATGTCACTGACATATTCTATCTCTTGAATTAAGACTACATAATTTGAGATTTACTGCCTTCACTGCTGGAGGAGGAGAGTTTTGATAAAAAATGTGAGAACAATTCTCTAGCCTTGTGCAAGACATTTTATTTGCCTTCAGCCATATTCTATGATTCTCTCAGCCACATTCTTTGAAGCTCCAAAACTTGTTTATGTTAAGAATTTTCAGCAAATTCTGCTTGCTTTCTTATTTAGCATGGTTTTGGTTTTTTTCCCCTTTCCTTCACCCTTTTCTTCTGTCAGTTTCCTGGGGTTTTATGGGCAAGTTTTTACAGATCAGAAAGAGCAGGATTGCTCTTGTATGCTCTGTTGGTGGGTGTGCTTTGATGGGTCAGATGTCAGCTCAGGAGCAGTTGATTTTCACAGGATATTAAATTGCCAGTTGGATTTCGAGGTTTTCTAGTGTGTTTCTGTGAACTGTGGAAAATTATGCATTTATACATTTATGTAGTGTAAATATGCTGGTTTTTATCTGGGCACAGAATATTGCAATTGTACATCAGTTTGCTGAATAAATGTTAATTAAGAGTGGTTTTGTTTGATTGGAAGCTAATATTTCACTAGAGAGTGTCTTTATGAAATTCAGAAACAATCTCAAATAGGATCAGAGCTTGTACTGTAAACATTAGGTAGTTAATGGATCTGTTTTTCATGTGCCTGTGTAAAATTGTGTCCTTGTTCCTAAATCTTTGATGTAATTTTCTCCCATTCGCAAGTATCCTTCAAAGAATGTCCTCTGCAAATTTTGCCCATCTTAGATACAATGGGAATGCATTTAATAAACCCACTCTCCCCCCTGTCTGAATTGATCTGTGTTTCCTAAATATGACAAAGGAGGTGAAATGAGAAAAGCAGCCCTGGCAAACTACTTTAAAGAGGAAAACAGGGAGGCAAGAGGAGTAAGCAGAGAACTGTTTTGCTCCTGTATGAACGAGCTGCCCATGCTGTACAATTAAAGTAGCCTCCCCTTCCCCACTTCATATTTTCAGGAAAGGATGCAGACAATCGCTTTTCTGGAGGGGACTTGTCAGAGGAAGTCTACACCTGCCTGCCCTGCAGGGAAGGATGTTCTAATTGTAAAGATGATACTCCCTGCTATGCACAGGAGGACAAGTATTTACGGCTTGCTATCATCTCATTCCAAACACTCTGTATGCTGCTGGACTTCATAAGCATGCTGGTAGTCTACCATTTTCGCAAAGCAAAGGTAAGAAGCCTTGTTTTACTTTAATCTTCCCAATCACTGTGTGGTACAGGCTCATTTATGTTAGGTGTACAGCTTCCCATTTGGAGGACAGTCTTCTTGGGTAAGGATTACAACTGTTTCTCAGAAGATGAGATTTCCAAACAGGACTGCTTTGCTGCAAGCACAGAGGAAATTAAATGTGATTTTTGAAAAAATGCTGAACAGTTGTCTCCCAGTGATGTCTCCATATGTTTATGGATGGTCATTAAATATCAAGGAAACCTATCATGTTTGAAGGCATTTTTGAAAGTTAGATCAATAATGCAAGTACCAAGAGGTTCATGGGATTTGTAGTCACTGCATGCTGAAAGTGTCTGCCTGCTTTACCACTGCTAGAAAGGATGTCTGGTTTCAATATATTTGTGACACTAGCTGCACAGTAATTGCACCCAAGAGAAATCTCTAAATAATTCTAGGTCCAAGGGAGTTTAAACTTGATTGTGTAGTATTTTTTTTCTAAAGTATGGATATATTAAGGAGAATCTGTAAACTGTTGATATTACACTTATGTAGTATCTACTAGTCTAATGAACTTTCTGCTTTTATCTCACTCAAAATATATTTATATGTAATATCTCATGCAATCTCACTGTTGCCTCAGTAAATGCAGAATATTCTGTGAAACTTTCAATTTACGAAGAAGAAATGAATGGAAGCTGGCACATGTTCACTACCTACATTTGGAAGACGTAGGCGTGCACACAATATGCTGTATTGTTGAAATTAATAGCATCCATTTTCCATAACTAGATAAGCATTTCCATTTTGGTTTTTGGAACACTTGATCCCACAGTCTTCCTAATCCTGCACTGTCTGTGTTACAAATGTGTGGTTCATTTTGAAAGACTTTAATATCCTGGCAGGAAATCACAGAATGAACAGTGACATTCTTTTTTTTTTCTGTTCTTTTCTCTGATTCTGACAGTCTTTGCATTTAATGAATGAATCAATGAATCAAATGATTCAAATTACTGACTTAACTGTATTTATAAAGCTTTTCATTATGAAAAGTGTTTGTAGGCAGTTATTTAGTTGCCTAATGTTAACTTAGCAGTAGAATCTATCTCCAATTCTGAGACATTTTAGTCCTCATGATAATGTTACTTGCTTTTATTGGCTGTGTAAAACAAACATCATGAAGAAGGAAGTGTTCCTTGTAAGACTTTTCTCTCTAGTTCTGCAACATGAAAACAGTAGATTACTTCATCTTCAGCTCCTGTAAGTTTGCCTTGATTTCTTTTCTCAATGATGTATCGATTGTTTTATAAGAAATTTATGAATGAAATTAGATATGTTCTTGCTCTTTCAGATGAGTATTTAGATGTGGTTTCCTGCACGTTCACTACTTTTAAAAAATATTTAGTAAGCACACACAGAAATCTTTTTCACAAAATCTACTGATTAAGAAAGGTGCTTTTTTAGTTTTGTGGCAATCAGCCATTCCTCCAAAGTAATATATGAGTAAAGAACCAGACAGGATCTCTGAACATTTAGTACCAACATAAACCAAGAAGCATATACACACCTTTCCTTGTTTCTAAAGAACTTTTCAGTAGTTACAAACAAAATAAGCCTACTTGTTTTTTTTTTTTTAAAGAATACTTGTTACTCTGAAAGATTTATCATGACATTTGAACAGGTGAATCAGGCATAAAACAGAATATTTACTACCGTTTTTCCCCAGAAAGAAGGGGAAATGATCATCTTTGTTTCATCAAGAACGTATATGCTAGGTCTAAAACAGTTACTGAAGGATCAGCTGTTGGTAAAACATCTGTTGTTCCATTCCCAAAGATCACAGCACTGAGAATAGTGCTTGATGATTTCAACAGTTACTTCCAAAGCATTATTGACAGAATATGACGATACAGTTTTCATTCTGACATGATCTTTATTAGAGACCGAGGGTGTAAAAATTATGATCTACAATCAAAATGGTTCTGTGACTGGAGGATCTTGACAAAATGAATGGTACAAATCAGCATGATGTTGACCAGCTTCTAGAAGTCAGCCAGTGCTGGAAGAGCTTCAAAGTCTTCTTAAAGATTTTCTGAATTGTCACAGAATCACAGAACTGCAGGGGTTGGAAGGGACCTCAAGAGACCATCAAGTCCAACCTGCCTGCTAAAGCTAATACTCTACTATAGGTCACACAGGTAGTTCTCCTTAGACTTCCAAAAAAACTCCTCTACAAAACTACTGAAATATTTACTGTGGAATAGGCCACTGCATACAGTAATAGTAGCAGAGGAGGAATGCAAGATAGGAAATGTGACATCTGCTCTTAAAGAGATTGCCAGTAATGATAGTGAGAGCTACAGACCAGTAGGTCCAACTTGCACACTGAGAAATTAATAGAAATGTTGATAAAGAATGGAGCTATTAGATTCATGAGTAAGTGTGGGATGTAGACTTCTGTGAGAATGTGATTTCCTTTTGAATGTATTTATAACTCTGTGAAGGTGGATTGTTATTAAAGATGAGAGTACTTTTTCCCAGGTCCAGTGACAAAAGCTCTTAAAAGTGATGATCTCAAGGGGTTTGGTGAGCTGCACTTGTAGCTATGAGAGTGGACAGAGGAAAAAACAGTGCAGCAGGTGTGGTTTAGAATCATTTAAGGTGGGGCGATGGTGACGTGTAAGCATATAGTCACTGTTCTGTCTAAGATATAACTACAAGGAGTTCAGATCTTTCAAGAGGTTAAAAAAAAGTAAAGTGGACCTTTTACACAACTTACAATTGCTTTATGTCACCCATTGGCACAGAGTATAATGGACTCCAAAGTAGAAATCAGTCCAGAAAGAGTTTAGCAGGAATCGTGTTGGTTATTTAATAACAGTGGGTTTGGTGAAACATCTGGTTCTGGAAATCCGTACTGCTTAAATGGGAGGACAGAGCTGGAAGGACCTTCTGCTATATTTAGTAATGCAGTACAAACCATGCCCCGAGATGGGACACTGTACTCTGAGTTAGAAAGCCTTTTATTTTGTTGTCAAAAAAAGAGTTGTCAAATTAGACTTCATTTCTAATCTTGAAATCGTTGCAGTTACACAAATAAATTTGCACGGTTGTGTTTGGTAGATGGCAAAATGAAGTAGACAAAGGACAAATTAAGATTTAAGGCACTTGTCCAAGGCATAGGTATGGCAAGCTATCACTGGCAGCACTGACCAAAATCTTGTATTGCCAACATATAAGTGAAATTAGCGACTTGAAGTGTTAGCCAGAACTGGCAAACAGTACAAAATGGAACTACAGTAAAATACTGGGAGAAAACTCAGATTGGTGCTGAAGAATTCATTTGAGGCTTTGTCAGACACGGGTGAAAGTGACTCAGCAGCACTGAGATTAGCTCAGCAGCAATGTTACTAAACTGCAAGACTCATAAATGGAAAAAAGAACAAGTAGAAAATGTGTCCCTTCGCAGAGAGAAAAGCCAAGAGGGAGAACTCCAAAGTGGTTGAAAAAAAGGAAAGAAAAAAAAGAAAAAATGAATGAAGGCACAAAGGGAATAGCAGAAACTAAACCACTAATGAAAAGCATATTGTTGTGAAAGACAGAGAAACATGAAAAATATAAGAGATAAAGCAGATGCTGCTGCTATAGTGGGAAAAGACAAAGCATTTCAGCAGGGGAGTAAATGGAAGAAATGTGCCAAACAAAGCCAAAAAATGAGGATAACATTCACAGCTAATACAGAAAGGAGAGCAAATATGCAGATCACTTCAGAGAAATCTTTAACTATTCTAGACAACCACAATGGCAAACAGTAGTGAAAGCTGAAAAGCCTGATTATGACATTAACACAAGTTGTAAGAAGCTGAAAAACTCCCAGGAGATGAAGACTGATCAAATCCCATCAGAAATGCTGGTGGCACCTGACAACAGCAGCTTAATGACACTGAGGGATTTGTGCAATGGAGCATGGGAGAAAGAGATTTTTCCTCAACAGTGGGAACACTGAACTGTTATCTGAGTGCCCCAACAGGATGATCTTGCTGAATGCCACAGCTGGGGAGACATTGAGGAGTCTGCAAGATGATACGAAGGGACGTAAAGTGACAGTGGATGCAGAACAAGGATCAGGCTCAACTGAGGCTTTCAGTACTTTGGATAGATTAGAAGAGTGTGCTAGCAATTGGAGAGGAGTGTATAAGCTAATAGGCTCCCCTTATTTCTTTGATTTTCAAAAGGCTTTGATAGACTGTCTGAGGGCATCTTGCAGAACATTTCAGCTCTGTGGACTTGGATCTACGTGGCTGTGTGCAGAGGTATAAAACGTTCTCCAAGTTTTAACAACTAATAAAAAAAAATCAACTCAAGATGAGCAGTAGCAAATGTTGTTGAGTGCTACGCTGTTGTTATTGACTGGATAATGCAAAGATTGCTACTAAAATTAGGTCTAAAATGTATAAGGCTAACCTAACAAAAATAGCTGGATAAGCAAGGACAGAAATTGCTGATGTTAAAACAAAAATTCTCAAATCTGAGAAGCTGAACAGTGATTTTAAAAGAAAAATTATCAACAAAATAGGAAAATTCATCAATGTGAATAGAGTTATGTGAACTAGAGGGGAGCTCGAAAAGGGAGTAACCATCTGCAGTACTGATAAAACACAATGTGAGGGCAGCAGAGCTAGACAGCACAAGGAAGAAACAAAATGGTTAAGAAATTCTTCTATTTCAAGGTTAGAGTAGTTTTTCAAGGGCTAAAGATCTACTAAAGCCTTGGAGAGGAAGCCAGCTTCCTCATGATCAAGTGCTTCCAAAAGTACTGGACTAGAGAAAGAAGAAAAAAGTGTTCATCAGCTGTCAAACTGTCTTCGAAAGTATCTGAAAGAAGTATCTGAAAGAAAATAACTGACCTTTGCATAGTGGCATGCCATTCAAACACGGAGCTATGAGGTAAATACAGCTGCTGTGAGGAATCATCGTTGCCTTTAAAACTGGTAAGAACCTCT